AATTATTGGTGGTTAATTCCATCGCAGGCTAGTCAAAAAGATGCTTATTTTAGCAGACTGCAAAAGATGCTTTTCGCTTGAACGGAAGGAGGGTGAGGATGGAAGGAGTGGTAGCAGCAGGCGTAAAAGTCGCACCAAGAGGCCATCCGAGGGAGGCGACTGCAAAGGGCAAAGGCGCGTAAGCCGCCGGTGTGGCGATGGTCGTCGCGACGTGGGAGGCTGCGTGCTTCCACGTCCCTTTCCCTCCTCCTCTTAGTCCTCGAACACTCGCTGTAATCGGCTGCTGATCTTGATCCTCCTCCTTCCCCTCATCGCCTTGGAAGATCTGGGCACCTGCAGCAGGGGCATGCATCTCGATCTTTCTCCGCCTCTTTCTTTCCGGTGATGAGAATGAGGGTGGAGACAGAAAGCACAGGAGCAGTCACCTGACAAGGCCAATTTGTGGAATACGCAATAGTCAATGCCATACGGCGCTTATACTCGCCCGTTGACTGCAGCAGGGGGAGAACTCACCAATTCCGTGTCCAGAAGAAGCATCTTCCTCATCAATGCACTCGACGTCAGCGTGGCACTTTGGATCAAGTGCCTGTCCATTATAATGTGCCAACAAATCCAGTGGTGAGACGTTTCCAACGAAAGAAAAACTACGATTTCTATAAACATCCTTCTCAGAAATGCAAAATTCTAAATTTACAATTCGTTTTCATACACTTAAAAGATGTCTCAATCAATTATCTCATAAAAATCTACTTACATATTCGATCATATCTTTAAGCTCCAAATCCAGATAATATAATTATTAGAGTCAAATTTGAGTTCAATAAAATATCTCAAATACTTTTTTTTTATTAGGCATATCCATGCTACTCATCGACATATAAAAATATTTAAAAACATGGGTATGAAGAAGAAAGAGCTTAGTAAACATCAAAAACTCACACACCATATATATATATATATATATATATATATATATATATATATATATATATATATATATATATATAATTTAATCAAAACTTATGAATTATTTTTCAGTCAGCATCCGTTTCAAATATATAAGAACATAAATTTTTTTTCTTTTTTACTTATAAAAGATCATAACATAAACTTCATATACGTTCTGAATCAAAACTAAAATTCATACACAAACATACACGTATAATAGGTAAAGTTTAAAAACGATTAAAATAATATAGTTTGAACACCTTTTCTAGCTAAGAATAGAGACAAGAATGTGATGCATGGCTAATGACTTAGTCAATACCTATATGCCATGTGAGTAGTAAGTGATCGACACGTCAACCACCTAGGTTACGAGGAGGATATATGGTTGATACCTTAAGGCTAATAGCTCATCCTATGGACAACACGTGATTAATGTTAGGATCAAGAGCACTAAGGAGGGGGGGGGGGGGGGGGTGAATTAGTGCAGCGGAAAACTTTCGACGATTAGAACGTATTCGTACGTTGAAATCCAATTCCGATGTAAAAATCATTTCGTGCAGATAATAACTTTGAAAACTTATGGAAACATAGGCAGTTTGCAATTAAGATAGAAATCAGAATGTAAGCGCAAACTGAAATATGATGTTTGTACGATAAAACCGATTTTCATCTTAACGCCGATTCGGAAACTACTTAACTAAGAAACACATTTGTAAATGAGCAGAAGGCAGTAAGCTACTGAGGAGGTTTGCAGTAAAGATAAGATGCTCAAAGTAAATGCAAACCAGAGAAGACGAGAGTTTATAGTGGTTCGGTTAATCGTGACCTACATCCACTCTGATTCCTCTTCCATCGAGGCCACCGGCATCCACTAACGATCTTCTTTTACTAGGCGAAGATCAGTCTCCTTCTTACACCCGTCTTCTTCTTTTACCGGGTTTAGGAGACAACCCTTACAAGCACTCACTCTCCTCTCTTAAACAGAATTCTAACACTTAAGCTAGAGGAGAGAAATTCTAGATATTGCAGTAGCGTTTTCTCTCTTTCAATCTCTCTGTGCTTGTGTATTTTACCTAGGGATAGGAGGGGTATTTATAGGCTCTAAACTAGTTTGAATTTGGAGCTCAAAATTGTCATCTCCCAGAATTTCGGGGTCTGGCGGTTGCACCGCCTGACTGGGGTGGTTGCACCGTCTGGCAGAGCTCATAGACTGAGCCTCTGGGCGGTGCCACTGCTTGTCAGGGGCGATTGCACCACTTGGCAAAGCTCAGAGACTGAGCCTCTGGCCGGTGCCACTGCCTGACAGGGACGGTTGCACTGCCCAATCTCGCTTGGAGACTGAGCCCTAGTGGTGCCACCGCTTGTCAGGGGCGGTTGCACCGCCCAATCTCGCTCGGAGACTGAGCCCAAGCGGTGCCACCGCCTGCCTGGGGCGGTTGCACCGCCCAGCTTTCCTGGGAGACCCTCTCCTAGGCGGTGTCATCGCCGACCCTAGCGGTGCCACCGCCTAGTAAGAATTCTGGTCTAAATGGGTTGATCCATTCGGCCCAATTTGGGTCTGTCAAGGGCCCAATTGCCCCCAGATTAAGTTAATGGGATCACCTCCCATTCCTAACTTAATCTACATGCTAACTACGACAATTCTTAAGACATTTACTACAGCTTGCTCTAGTGCGTCAATCGCTTCTTCCAGCGAACATCCGACGAACCTCCGGCGATGCTCCGACGGACTTCCGGCAAACTCCTGGACTTGCGATGATCCACTTGGCGAGTTCCGACGAGCTTCTTTTGGCAAGCTCCTGGACTTCTCGGATTTGTTCCCGCAGAACCTCCGACGACCGTCCGGACTTCCGTCGAGCTCTCGAACTCCCAATGTGATCATAGTCTTTGACTCCGACTCAACTCCTGCTGCATGTCTTACTTTCATCGTAGTTAATCATGTACACTTAAAACAAAACTTCGATCGAGACAATTAATCCTAAGCAATTAACTAAGTTGTCCGGCATGTCATTGG